AGAGCACAACCCTGAAGAAAGTGCATATTTTGGGCTCCATGATCTCGCGCAGGAGCACTGATGGGATGATGTCCAGCTACATTTTCCATTTCTGGGTTGTCACGTTTCCAAGGAAGTGCCTTGTACCCAAGCTTACCCTGAGATATCCTCCGACGGAAGGGAGTTGACAGTCCTGTGCTTTGCAGAAATATTTATTTCCCAATGGAAACTCAAGGCAGCTTGTTCCCTGTATGTTGTTTCTTTCCCTGGTGATGTCTGTGAATGAGCCTGAGGCATGTAAAGGCCAAACTAGAGCTTTAATAAATATCCTGACTCTCTGTCTCTCTTTCTCTCTGTGTTTTTAGAGTGGAAAGTCTGTGTGAAGGAACTTTGGGGATGAGGGGCAGTTTATACATTTCAAGTATTTGACACAGTCAGCCCTGATATTTCAGTTAGCGAACTGGCTAAGCACAGGCTAGGTGTTAATACCATCTGGTGGGGAATTGTACTCAGAGGGGTGGAGAGAATTCCTATGAAATTTGTGGATGCTGCAATTGTGAGAGGGATAAGCTAACATCCAAAGATAGGAATCAACTCAAAACAATTTTGATAGAATGGGAAACTGGGCAAGAATGAACAAAGCATGATATTAGGGTACATGAAGGAGACCCTAGTTTCTAATCACAAGAAACCATAGTGTCACTATTTTCTTCACTAATCTGCTGTTACCTGTAGCACTGTGTCTGGCTCTGACTGCCACACTTTAGGAAGGATATGGACTAAATGGAACATGTTCAGAGGAGGGCAACAAAGATGGTAAGAGAACTGTTAAACAAGCGCCACGAGGAAAAGTTGTAGGAACTGAATACATTTAGTCTAGGGAAGAGAAGACCCTGCTGCCCCAGAGGGCAGGGCAAGAACAAATGGGCTTAAGCAACAGGAGGGTAGATTTAGGTTGAGCATTGAGAGAAACATCTTAACAAGCAGTTCAACAATGGAAGCAGGTACTTAGAGGGCTTCAAGCTGAAGCTGGGTTGATTTCCTGTGTCAAGCAACGGATTGCACTAAATGGCCTACAAGGCATCCTCCAACTCTATGGTTGCTTTGAGAGCACGGGCAGTAAAGGACTTGTCCTCTATCTCTTTGTTGCTTTTGACATGCAAAAGCTTAATATTCCTGAATTTCATTGCTTTGCGAATCTAGGCGCAGCAGGATTGTTAAGCTGCAGAGATTCTGGATAGGTCTGCACATTATAACAGCTGCAGTGAAACACCTTTTTCCCAAAGCAGATGTTGACATTTGGATATCATACAAGCATGCCTGTGCACAAATATATGGCGAGGGAGCCCATTGTGTTTGCACAGGTTGGTGTTGCCAATGCATTGCAACGATGGTGAACTGCAGCATGAAGGGTTCCTTCCACCTCCCACCCCCCATCAGTCTTCTGTATGGAATATAAACATTCCCTTGATATACATACGTTTTTGAATGTATAAGTTTTCTATCTTTTGGGTGGTCTTGAGTGTGTGATCCCCTCCCCATCTGCAATTGATGCCTTGCATTTGTGAACCTATCACCTTTCTTACATGAACGTAAAGATGAAGGCACATATGTATGTTTGATATACATATGTCTTTGCTGTAATCAGTATTGTAATTGTGGGTTGTTCGGTTTTTTGCAGTGGTTGTAATGTGAGAGCTTTACAACCCTTATAGCAGATTGTAAAAACACTATATAAAGTGCTTTCTTGGCCAGCCAGAAGATGGCATACTTGCACACTACAATACTTTTCTGCATAATTGAAAGATCTGTATTCTGCTGTGGTACAGCTATAATAAAAATGGAATTTAATAATAATAAACAAAATGCAGAGCTTATTTTTATGAGGTACAGGATCTTTAACAAGGCACTGTATTCTGACGGTTTCTCCAGCATATAATAACGATGTAAATGGTCCTACAAAAGGTCAGTAGGAAGCCCCACTTCTGGTATTTTAACATAAAAGTATTAAAAGATTTGGGGACTTACTGGTGGTTGAGGCAGGGCATCTGTTGGCAGCAAGCTGCTTCTTTTGGAAGGTGATGGGTATATATGAGCAGGAGTTGAGGTAAAATGCTCATCACTGTGTACTGCATGCAGTCCTTAACCAATATATAAATTTTACAGGGACAAAGCTTCCTGTTGCCTTTGTTTAGAGTATAAAAACAGAATCACTTTGTGAATGAACTCCAGTTCTGTATTTCTTGCTCCCAGTTAACACCTATCATCATCACATTCTGAATCCCAGTATATTAAATCCCACAGCTGGATATCCTAAAATTAGGGGTGCAGAGAGGATGGCATTTCATTTACTTTGAATGTGCTTTTACCATGTAGGTAAAAAAAGCAGACATCACAGGAGAGACACCTAGTTAGCTGACAATATAGTCACAACATGATTGCAGTGTGAGATGTGGTTCGTTATAATAGTTCCATGTAATCAGTAAATTATAAAATAAGCCGGCAAGCCAGTCATTAAGTGCTGACTTGAATATGGCGGTGTGCTTGGGCGTTTCAGTTTTTGTCCACAGAGTTTATTGACTAGCAATGCTTGTAAGCTAGTTTGTATTATTGCTGGGGAAAACGTCTCCCCCTATGAAACAGAACAGAAAAAGAAGATAAGAATAGCTGCCCTTAAGTATGTTACACCAGTAGGTCTTGAGATGAAATCAGTCCCAGATACGTTTTATCCAGATGTTACTGTGTATTTTCTCACTTGAAAAAGCTAGCGCCTCGCACATTCATGCTGTAGTCTTTTCTAAACTTTCTAACCTGAGGCCGTTAATCAACTTCAGCATCATCCACAGAGACAGAGATCAAGGAACCAAGCCATGTACTATTAACGGTACATAACGTCATACGTATTATCTCATTCGCTGGCACATTGGGTAACAAAGTGTTTCTGCTTAGCGCTTTCATTACAATCAAGCAGTTTATAAAAGTTGTGAAATAAATAAAAATATGCATTTGTTCCACTTTCATGCTATATTTGGTTCCTCCCTAAGACTACTTACGAGGGACAATGGGCATCCCTTGCTGGAGATACATGACTGCATTGTAAGATGGCCTCACAAGGGAGTCATCACAGTTGCCAATCTATGCAAAATCCAAGCACAGTTGAGATGTAGAGAGCTAAGGACTTTATCTTTTAATAGCATTAATTTTATTACAGTGGTACCTCGTGTTACAGGCACTTCAGGTTACAGGCGCTTCAGTTTACAGACTCTGCTAACCCAGAAATAGTACCTCGGGTTAAGAACTTTGCTTCAGGATGAGAACAGAAATCGTGCTCCAGCGGTGCGGCAGCAGCAGGAGGCCCCATTAGCTAAAGTGGTGCTTCAGGTTAAGAACAGTTTCAGGTTAAGAACGGACCTCTGGAATGAATTAAGTACTTAACCTGAGTTACCACTGTATTGTTATTATTTTGGTACTATGATCAGGCAAATTATTCTGCAATGTGAAAACAAAGAGTCTCAGCTATATATTTCTTTGTCTTTTAAAATGGACACTGATTGGATTTTTTAAACACTATCCAAAATACCTTAGGGTACAGTGTGTAGTAATGCAGTTACTGCAAGGCTGTCAGATTCATTGTCAAATAGTATTCTGAATCTAGGGATCAGATAAATTAGGTTTTAATTGGGTTTTAAGGCTAAGCGGAATAAGTAGATAAGGTTGAATTAGACAGAGAGACATTAATGCAATGAAACCCCTGGTTACTTTTAGTCTATTGTATTAAAGACCATGCCATATATCATTGATAGGAGATGTCATGCTAGGGCTGAGAGAGATTGGCATTCATAGGTAGAAACAAACAGTGGTTCTAATGTAATCATGTTACCTTGAACACAGGAAATCCCAGGAAATGGGCAAGCCCATGTTGGTTACTCTATAGTATTTCAAAACCAAAACCAAATTAAGTTTCACAATGCCGGTAGGGGACCATCTGAACAGAGAATTAAGGTTTTCTTTTCTTTCTTGAAAGAAGGCAAAATAAATTACTGCTTACTCTGAGAGGATAGTAACATTAGCCTATTTATCTCACTTATTAACAAGCTTATGATGTTTTTTTAACAGTGCCAAATGTAATTTTCATTGCAGACATGACCTTTTTCCTAATAACCTCATTTTGTCTTTCATTTAGCTTTTACGTAGACATGTTCAAATGACTGAAATTTAAATAAGGCTGTAAAACTCAAAGCACTGAATTAACTCCGTATTCCATTAGTCAAGTTAAAATATCTATCTGTTAAGAATTGCAACTAAGCAGTGCTTTACATGCAAAAGGGGTTGGTGCTGGCCAACATTTGTATCTGTAAATCATCACTTTAAATGGATTATTTGGCAAAATGTCTGTCTGGGCAGTAAACATTTGTTGTTTTCCACTTGGAAAAAAAGAAAGGGGGAAAATACATATATTCAGAATAATCCAGTTAGCAAATGAGTGTTCATAGAGTGGCACATGTACAGAAAGGATGCCTCTGTGCAACCTCCACACTCACATCATGGTACTTGAGCTGGCTGTATGTTTGGTGATTCATACTTAATAAGGGTTGTATGTACCCTTGTCTACCAGATGGTCTGTGTCCTCAACTTTGATAGTACCCATCAGCTGTTGTGAAAGGGCTGAATCTATGCCTTTCACCCGACTGGTGGTCAGTGCACCTGACTTGACTGCACCAAGTCAAGTGATATGCAATATAATAAGGACTCAGGCTGCTGCTTTAAAATTTGCCCATGTCTTGATATCATTAGTATCTGATGTGCTGGGAAAGCTGATGGGGCCAGGAACATAGGAAGCTGTGTTATACTGAATCAGACCACTGGACCATCTAGCTTGGTATCATCTACACCAGCAGGTAGCAACTCTCTCTTTAGTTGAGATTCCTGCATTGCAGGGGGTTGGACTAAATGATTCTTGGAGTCCCTTCCAACGCTACAATTCTATGATTCTTTCAGACATGGGCACTCCCAGCCCTAACTGGAGGTGCTAGGGATTCAGCCTAGGACTTTTTGCATGCCAAGCAAATGCTCTGCCAGTGAGCTGCAGCCATCCACTGTTCATCTTGCCATTTTCATGGCTTAAACAAGCAGCGACTTCCATGTTCATTCATGCTGTGCTCAAAAGGAAGGGAACTTCCTGTTCCCTTAAGACAGTGGTTCTTACAGGGTGTGGCAGGAGAGAATGGCAAGTGTGGTGGAAAGATTTAAGGATGATCAAAGAAACATTTGAACATTCCAGCATAGCATCAAAATAATTATTTTATACTTTCTGGATGTCCCATGATCATCTTATGAAGTAGTTGTGTTACATGTTATAAATAAAGCACTGCTATGAGTTATTTCTTTTTGTTTTCTAATGTATTTCTTATCGAGAAAAAAATCAGTGTGGCACAAGAAAATTTTTATTCTGAAAATGAGATCCAGAGAAAAAAGTTTGAGAACCACTGCTTGAGGGGTAGTGATGATGGGAACCATCAGCCTCATACCTTGATTAAGCAACCAGTGAAGTATCATACAGTGGAGTTAGCCATTAGGTCTGAACAAATAGGATCTGCAACAAAAGTTCACAATGTATAAACATATGCTCCTATTCAGTTTTCAGAACTGGTCAGTCACATGTCTGCTAGGATACAATAAGCATGACTAAACCTTCTCCCCCAAAAGAAAGTTTTCCAGCTTACTTTTCTGACATTCAGCATTCTGGGGCTCCTGAACAAGCTCAGTCCTCATTCTCCTGTTTTGAAGTGTTTCTGTTTTGATACCTTGGATCTTAAAATAATAATCATGCAACACCCCTCTCCCCCCCGCCCCCGGATTCTGATGAACCTCTATAGTTTCTCAGTGGCACTGTTTTGCCTCCATTTTTAATTTCTGTTTGCTATTACAGGAAGCAGTGCATGCCTGTAATGAAGAGACTGAGAATAATTAAGGATGGGGAAAAGTATTTATTGAGGAGAGTTCAGATTGCATGCAAAACGACCTTCAAAATACTGCTTTGATATTATGGCATAAAGAGGAATTAGTGTGTATGTGTGTGGAAAGTGTCATCTAATCCAGTTTTTCATTTTGTATCTCCAAGGTACCCCAAGCAGATGGTTGCTTGATCTCTTCTTGGAAATCTCTGAATCATGGAGACTCTGTAGCCTTCTTATGTATTCTGCGAGTAATGCTAAATAGCCTTGGCATAACTTGGATCAAATTCTGATCCAAGAAAATCTCAAGTGTGCTTCCCCTTCTTAAACCTTGAGTGTATACCATGGAATTGTTTGTACTTAATAATTTAAGAGATAAGGCTGCCATATTACTAGGGCTCAAGGTGAGTGGTTAAGCTGTGTTAAAGTTATGCAAGTGAAAATGCTAATTGTCCACTATTCTTAATATTCAGTCAGTAAAATCCATGACCCGCTATAGGTATGTGATAACAGTAGACTTTATCTGAGCGATCCACACACATCCATTGTAGAGGTAGCAGACAATAAAACTTGAAGGCTCATTAGCTTGGAATGACCCAGCTGTGTTTTATGCATAGGGGTCATTTCTTTACTAATGAGCCACTAAACCAGATGGCTAACCCCACAGTAGTCTAACTGCATTAGTTTGATTTAGCTCTTTAGGCAAATTACTTCGGGGAACAAAAGTACTCAGCCTTTGAAAGCCTCGTAGGTAGATGTGAGATGGCTGTTACCTTATTTATACAAACCATCCACTCATTTGGGTAGAAATACATAGCATAATGATGATAGTACCTTGTAGCTATAATGGTCCATGGGCTGCCTGTGAGTTGCTTTTTGAATAATGCCATTCTACAGCTGGTTCCTGGATGGTAAGATGGAAAGTTAATCCGCACATTATGCTTATCACATGGCCTGTGTTACTGCTTCTTATGTCTCACATAGTGATTTGGTGGTGGTAATCGTAATGCGCTAATATTGGCCCACTAGGGCCCTTTCAGATTTGTATAGAATTGTACAGAATATAGGATATTGGCTCTATCAAAGCTAGGCAAAAGAAATTTGGATTTTTTTGAAATTTTATTACCTCAGTATGCAGTGTGAATGAGTGATGCATACTTCCTCTTACTCAGTTGTTCAGACACGGTCCTTCAGGACACTGTTGCCTTGGCGGTTCAGATAACCATTTTCACCTTCTCGTGGTTGATTGGTTTGATTATGACTTTGCCACATCATTGTCATCAGGATCGGCCATTGCCATGTTCAGATTTATGTGAATATTGCACTCTGTTGGCCAGAATGATTCATTATTATGCTTCTTATTCATACACACACACACATCTTCCAGATGAGTTGTGTACAACTGGAAGGAGAGTAATATGTGTAGATATGCTTGTTTTTCACCATTGTCTATTTAGGGCTCTGCTCTGAATACACTTTAAAAGTTTGTGCATATTGGCCAGAAAATGTACTCTAAATATGTACATGTTCTCCAAGTCCTGTTGAATATTATTTATATTGACTGGGAAATGTGCACAGTTCCCTCTTTGTAGACAGATATGTACACATCTACCATGAAGTATGGTGAATATCCACAATGGCTGGTTGTTAATGTACATTTATCTAGCATATGTATAGTGAAAAAGTTGGTATTTTACTGCTGCCTTAAATGGAATTGCACTATGCAGCTGTATGATGTACTAAGCATTGGCATGTCTATCTGTCTGTCTGCTATCTAGCTTAACAAATATCAAACTGGAAATAGATTTCTGTTTCTGAAAACCATATGGTACTCAGTAAAAGCAGATTGTAATTTTGATCTAAAGAGGGTAAATTCAAGGCAGAGTTCTTCTCCTTTGGTTTCTGAACTGTTTTAAAACTTTCAGATTCATATTAAATATGATGGCAATGAAAATGTTCAAGGCCATTTCTGTTTATAAACAACACATATCTGATTTTACAGCTTGGCTTATCTAAGGAACAACAAATGCAGAATTTTGTTCAGCTTCACTGATTGCTTAACCAAGTGCTGCTTCTTATAGGATATTTTGTGTTCGGGTGGAGATATACACAAATAGTGCTGGTTATGAAGAGTGCACTCACATATAAATTATTTTCCTACCAATTAAAATTCATTAAGTCCCCACTCCCCCAATGATTGATTAGTTCAAGATTTAGTTGATTGATTGGCTGGTTAAACAGATGAAAGCTTGCAGCTATGGATAATACATATTTATGGGAAGGCTAATACTTTGCTAAAGAAGAATCAAAATGTTTACTTACCAAACAAAAGATGTGTTCAAGCCACTGAATTTATTTTCCTGACAAATGGATTAATATTGCAGGAAGAAGAGTGAGGACTGCATCCATATGGTTAAAAATGTGCATTTCAAGAACAATTGATTCATAAGTTGATACTCCTACCAGTTCAGAGGCAATAAAGCAATATACTTTGCCCATAATAATAGGATTGACGATGGGTGAACCCTTCAGTTGATTGTTGATCATATAAATAGTTGTGTGATTCAGCATAGGCAAGGGAAATTGCACAGTCTCCTCCCTCAAAAGAATTATGAATGGGTTTTGAAATAGAGCTGTGGTGTGTGTGTGTGTGTGTGTGTGTGTGTGTGTGTGTGTAATGCAGGGGTAGGTAATGTAGATAATGTTGGACTCTGGAAGTCATTAGCCCTAGCCAACCTGGACCAGTGATCAAGAAGGGTGGATGTTTTGGTCCAGCAACTTCTGGAAGAGGGCAACACATTGGCTACCCCTGGTGTAAAGGATGTAATTTTGCGGTCTACTTCCTCTCACTTTTTTTTTTAAAATATAACACCAAGCTGAGAAAGAAGTTCTAATACCAGTATTGCACAATGGGGAAAAGCATTGATTCCCACTAATGGGCCTCATCAACTGTATATAGTAGGTCGCTCTAGGTGGTTGGTGTCATGGTCCGGTTCACGGGCGATCAAAGTCCTGGCTGGAGACGTCGGAACCGGGGGCAAGATGGTGGGGTGGTAGCAGGAATGGGAGTCCAGAAACCAGGAGTCAGGAAGCCAAGAGTCCGAGGGTCAGAGAGCTGGGAGTCAAAAAGCCAAAGGTCCGAGGATCAAGAAGCAAGGAGTCATGAGGTCAGGGGTCCGAGGATCAAGAAGCAAGGAGTCAAATGCAGCAAGGCAGGGAACGTGTTGCTGTGGCAAAGAGCAGAAGGGAAAAAGCTGACCTTATACCCCGCCCAGCTCTTGCCATCAGGTGCTGTGAGTTACCAACCACCCTCACCTGTGTGGCCGCACCTTGCCTCTTCAGAATGAACTTAGGAAGGTCCCAGTCCTGCAGAGTCCTATTGGTCACAGGGCCTGGCTCCTGCACGCACACCTGACAGTTGGGGAAGCTGCATCCATGTGCCGTTGCCCTAGAATAGACAAGGCTACACTATCTGGGGACTGAAGGAGGAAATGCTGAGATGAGGGTGAGAGTGCCCATCCTTTTAGGTGAATTTGGAGTTTGAAGGAGGTGTAAAGAGATCCAGGTGGGATTTGAGGAAGAAACCAACACTCAGAAACAGAACACATACTTTGCATGCAAAAAGCCCTGGCTTTAGTCCCCATGCCTATCCCATTAAAATAATCCAGTTACAGGTGATTGTAAAAACTTCTGCCTGAGATGCTGAAGATCTGCTGCTAGGCAAGAGTAGATAATATTGGGCTTGTTGGGCAAATAATCTAAACTGCTCTATGGTAGCTTCCTGCATTCCTGCATTCCTGAGAGATGAAGAGAATGGTCCAGATGAGAGTTGGATGGTGGCCTGCTATGAGTGAGAGATGTGGCTTCCATTCAAGGTAGGTCTGTGATTTGTGACTCACCTTGTTGCCTTCAAATCTGCTAACTCTGCATGCAATACACTTGGTATGTTTCAGAGTTTCCTTCCTGCTGGCTGGTATGATTGCACTTTTTGGAAATTTATATTTGTTGATTTAATAAACTGTTTCTGAAATTATTTTTGTGTTTCTTGATAAGCAGTTCTTCATTACTTGCTATACTGATATTGTTATGTTGGTTGAAATGTTATTTCATGTTCACATTTTTAGATGGAATCGTTACTGTT